GGCGAAGGGTCTTCAACCGGCCGCCTGTGCGCATGTTTAAGCAGCGTTAATCTTTTGGAATCAGCTGGAACTAAGTTTTTCCTTGGCACATGGGTGAATAATAAATTTCCAGGCATGTTGCACCGTACCAATATTGTTATTTGTCAGTCAGCCAGGAGCTTTTCTTCCCTGGGGAAGAAAATCGTCTTCGATACTAGCGTCATCTATTATAAATAGTGGCGTTATCTATCGAAAAGCCTCTTTCCTTTTGCCAAACTACCGACACCTGATGAATTAAATGTTTCTAATTTGATTTTAAACAGCCGTTAGTTAAGTATAGAGCCTATATCAGAAGCACATCAATGAAAAAATTACTAATAGATAATAAGTTCACTTTTATGAAAAAGGCGTTATTAATTGGTATTGGAGGTTGCAACCGTTTACGCACCATTGTGATATTGATTTGCAGTTTATGTGCTTGTATGGGTTTTAAGAGGGTATAAGTTCGGTTTGCCGGTATTCAAACGTTCCTTTCGCGTAACTACTTGGATAAGCATGCCGAAGGCTACGAGGTCACGTACAAAGCATTTTGTGATAGGTCACCCGGCGCCCCTGTCCCACCAACGACTGCCGACTGAGGGGAAGCCTTAGCTTACATCAGACGGCTAAGGGAATCAAACAAGAATCCCACTAATACCGTCTTCAAGACCGTGGCGGCTGAAATCAGTAAGCTTTGGACGAACGAAAGGATTCCCGTTCATGATATAGAATGCGTCACAAAAGTTATCAAGAGGGATTGCTATGAACCATACAAAGCTATCAGCAAAATACCAAAAGGAAAGAGAAGGACAGTACAGCGTCGCTACCGCGAAGTTCAATAAGCTTCTCGATATATAGCAAACAATAAGCAACATGTAAGTGCGAGTCCCAGCACAGCTACAAATGCCCAGCTGCCTACAGACTGCCGGTAAAAAAGGTTGCTTTCTTATAAGACCAACACACGCACCGGAGGCTTTCCCTGGAGACGCATGACTGGGCTACGGCTGTGGCTAGGGAGGCTCGCGAGGTCCGGAGGATGACCAGACAATTCCAGGAGCGTCCTAGCTCAAACACCAGTGGGGCGGTGTGTGCTGCTAAACCTGAGTCGCCTCCCCCGCTGGCTGCTGAGCCCATGCTGCCTGCTGAGCCAGCGCCGGCTGCTAGTGCTGAACTCGAGCCTGCTCCAGGACCGAGTGGTCTCAGCGCTGGCGAGTCAGCCGAGAGTGCGGAATCTGGCACGGCTTCGCGCGTGGCAGAAAGTGGCGACGACGTCGATTTCTTTGTTCCGGATGAGGTTGCTGTCACTGCAGATCGCGACTTTAACGATCTCACCAACACCGCTCTTGCGGTTGACCGCTACAGTGTCTCGAACCTGGCGCCTGCTGCCATCATTAACGCCTTCCAACATGACAGCAGAGGCGGACTGGCTGCTTCAGATGTCGTAGATCCTAAGAAGATCTGGCGCGCAAGAGACAGAGCGAGAAAAGAGGCGGCGCATCAAAATGCGGAATCAGTCTACGAATCAGGTTTGACTAGTCTCTACTTCGATGACCGCAAAGGCAGAACCTGTGTGACACATAGCCATGTGAATGCCGTAGAAGAACACGTGGTTGTCATCACCGAACCAGGCAGCCGCTACGTGACCCACTTCACGCCCAAGCCCGGCCGCAATTGCTCAACGAGCTTCACTCCGTGAGCCACCTGTTCGACGGTCACATCAAGGTCCTCGGCTGCGACGACACGGCCGTCAACACAGGGATGACAGGTGGAGAGTGCCGGCTGTTTGAGCTCGTCACTGAGTCACCCGTGCACTGGTTCATCTGCCAGCTGCACGGCAATGAGCTGAATTTACGTCACCTGCTGCTGGGCCTGGACGGCGTGACTACGGGACTGAAATCTTTTTCTGGACCCATCGGTAAGATCTGCGCCGGAGAGATCTGGAAAACGGACGTTGTGGTATTCAAGCCTGTGCCAAGCATGTGCCAAACCTGCCTGTCGACCTGGTCCAGCAGCTGAGCACCGACCAGCAGCTGCCGTACCTGCTGGCCTCAGGCGTACAAAAAGGCTCCGTCCGGACCGCGACAGCTCGGGGGCGAATCGGACAACTGGACCATGCTAGGTAAATATGAAAGCACAGTGTCTTCTAATTCCGGACGATTTTAACTGCATTTGCGAGAAATATTATGCGTATTGATAAGACAGCAATAATAGCCTTATTCCACGCAGAATATCGAGGAAAGTGGAGAACTAGACATATTGATATTTCGGCGATATATCTTTACGTAAACCAAACTACGTTATTAGTACTGTCGCCAAACAAAACCAACACTATTAGTACCGTCTTGTCTTCGAATTCATGGCAATGAATGTTGAAACTTTCTCACGCATCATCTGGCATTTCAAATACTCATCGTTAAGCACATACTCATTACAATGCGTTGTGCCATAGTATGTCATCATTTACTCGTTGGTTCCTGCTTACGAGTATACTTGCTGATAGGTGTTGCCGTTGCGTTAAAATTGAAAAAAATTTTGTGTGACCTAATGCTCAGTTCGGGACGACTTGTTTTAAGTGTTCTTGTTCTTTTGTTTTCCGATGGTTGACACTGGCTACTCGCCCGCCCCGAACTTGCATCTCCACAGAGACTCCCAGCAGGGCTTTGAAGGACCTCGTCCAGGGCGTGGTTGGCCACTATGTGCCGGTGTGGTTCTCCATTCGACAGAACAGCAGCTGTGACGTGGGCTCACGCAACCTATTCCGAAGCATCGCGCTGCTCCGCGAGCTGCCGCTCGGTGCAGCCAGTCGGTGCAGCCACAAACCACGGTGCAGCCAGTCATCCAGCGCAACGGGAACTGGGCCCGTCCGAAACAGCTGCTGCTGGCCATGGTGGCGGACGGGGACCGTGTGGTCCGCGAGCAGGCGGTTCAAATCATCAGCGCCGCGCTTAAGCAACAAACTGAGGGGCCCAGGATCCTCGCAATCTCAACGATCAACTTCGAAGCCGTGAGCCACACGGGGCTGATCTCCTGGCGCGAACCAGTCACGCACCCCCCCCCCCCCCCCTCTTACGACACCTCAGTGACGGGAGCTGCGAAGCATAGTGCACGCTTCGTTGCCCATTCCGCCTTATCCGGTTCATACCCAGGCGGAGTGGGCCGTGCGCACCGTCACCGAGGCATGTTCGGCGCTGATGGGAGAAGAGGCGCGGCATGGCCTCATCACGGCCAAGCTCATGCACCGACATATTCTCCCCACTGTCAACTCTAAGAATAATCTGCTCTGAAGGTAGGCAGGTAATTATCAACTGATCACATCCTCAGAGGTGTTTTGCCCCCGTTTCAGCTTAAAGCTACTCCAGCCCTTCAAATTCACATTCATCTCAATGCCAAAATTGGGCCAATTACAAATTGCAAATGCGTGCATGAATACAACATGCATTGTTTCACTTTAAAGCAATTTCACGACTATTGTGCTTTCATCACAAATGTGCTATTGTGCTTTCACTTAAATGTGTCTGTTGCAGGTGGTCGTAGCAGCAGGCACCAGTACGGCAGCCGCCGCCTCCGCATCAATGCGTGCAACCGCTGCGCAGATGCAGGACAGCCTCGAGAGGAGAGACCAAGGAGCGCACCGCTGGACCAGCATTCGGCGCTGCTACAATCAGCACGTACTGGCGGCGACGTACATTACTGCGGCGACGGCCAGTCAGCATTGGTGACTGCAACGCCGGGCGCCGGTTTACGACGATATTTCGATCGGCTCGCGCTTCACTAATAAAAGTTTTTGGGAAGAAATTTTGCTATACTGTGCACTTTTGGACTCCAGCACCAGCGAATTTCTTTGTCTCACTTGGTTTTGTTACTGATGACACGCCCTACTGTATATGTCGATCGGTTGCCAACTATTGACAGGAGCTGTAAAACTTCGCATCTGGATGCACGGACCTAACCCCTCTATACCTGCATCGGAGACCAGCAATGCTCCTTACGCTTTGTGAAAACTCTTTTTTTCGAGCCTTGACACCACCTATGGCATACCAACTATGGTATATTGAAATAACAACACCCATGATGTGAGTGTTTCAACCACTGGAAACAGCGATCACTTTTGTAAACGCAAGGCAGCGCACGTAGCCCATGCCAACCACCATCTCAGCATTATTGCCAAGTACCACTTCGGGTTCCTCCTGAAACCTCAAAATCCTGCCTCACCGGACACAGATTGCGTGCCGACTGCGAGGTGGGTGCCGCAACAAGTACTGAGCATATTCTCCGAGGAACGAGACTATTACTACTGTCCTGTCTATGGGAATTATGCTCCTTGCAAATGCACTTAACGACTTACGTAACCGCCTCGAGCCTATACAAAAGGCATTTGAAACATCCGTATGTAGCTGGGTCCTTTGGTGTCGCACCGCCATTCATAGCCATTGTGTTTATGTTATTACGCGAACTCCGCCAAAGCTAAAGTTTGGGAACGAATGCATTGAAGTTGGAGACTCGTTTTCCCATGTGACAGTAGCAGTTTAGCAATGTGACACAAGCAAATCACAACCTTCCTTGCTGGGGGTCCGGAAACTTCAATGGAAAATAACAGGGCTGGCAGAGCCCTCGCACGATAAAAAGACTAGGTTTCGAAACTTAATTTCACTTCCTTTCCTTCTTCTGTTTCTTCTTCTTTTCCCATCCTTTTAACTTTGCCGCTCAGCCCAGTCCATTTCATGACTTAATCACACATCTACGAATTTATCCCATTCGTGAAGGGTGGAGAAAATGGAGCCCCTGCTAGAGACGTTGAATACATCACACAATGACATTAATCCGCACCAGCCTAAGATCCATGGTCTGTGAAGATAACAGGCAGCGAATCCCACAGACACCATCGCATCCAAACCCCGATACCACTTTGTTTTGCCACACCACGGTCTAACGCGGCAGCGCCCAACCCCAGCCCAGCACTGACACGCTGGGATCGGGCTTACCTGGGCATCTCGATTTGATCTATCTGTGGTAGTGTTCTCAGCGTCTTCTGGCTCTCCTTCAGGCTCCCAAATAGTCTCTGGGGAAAAGAAAGCGGCTATGACTATCACGAACACATGTGCGATTAACCAAGCAAAACGTGAAATGAGGGGGGATTGCCTGCTATGTACATCTTCTATGCAACCGCCTTGTGCTCTTAAGCCCTCCCGTGAAAGAACTTATTACCATTCCGGAAGACCATCTTACCTCACCGGAGCTTGAATACCTTTAATTCATATAGATATTTGGGCATTGTGATGTTAATATAGATATCCTTGGTTCATGTACATACCGACATAAGCTGGCGGCTAACCAAAAATTGCTTTTAACTTTAGTCGTGCACAAAGACACGTCAACAATGCTTGCATATGCTAAGACCCCTCCCACATTATTGCACGCAACATCTCCGCCAAGAAGAATAGCTGTGAGCGCCGGCGCAGCTGGATTCCCAGCGCGCACTGACCGTCGTCCGAGACGATCAGCTCGTAGCCGCGACTCTCCGGCTTGGTGACGTCCAGACCTCCGCAGATCTCTGGCGACGCCTCCCGGATGGCGTTGTACAGCTCGTCACAGCTGATGGAGACGTCAACAAAAGTTTAAACGCGCATCAAGACAGGCGCAAGCGGCCCAGCCAGGCACGGATGACGCGGGACATCTGCGCTGGTAGATACAGCCAGCCGCAGTTTGCCACAAACGCTTCCACGCCGGTTCCACATCTTGTCATATCCCAGGGTGCCGGTTTCGCCACGTCCTAGGTAACACCAGACTGGCACCACCACTCCCTTGACACCAACATTATGGTGACACAGACACTATTCCCTCGGACGTAACGCAGACCTTGTCTCGGTTTAGCGCACAGTGTTTGCGACAGCAAAGCACGTAGTCACAAGAGGAAGTCTGCTGTACGTGGGTGCATCCGCGGCTGGACGAAATGGACTCTGGTAGGTGGGCGCATGACTAACGTGACTCACGAAACAACTTAAGTGAACCAACACCTCGATGACCATACGCAGATCACCACCGAAGCGCGACTCCGGTAGCCAGTGGTGACGTCACTTCACGCACCAGTCGCGCGGCACGGCGAACCAGAGCTCGGAGCGGATCCGGCGCTGGCCGCAGAAGATGACGGTCTGGGAGCGCGGGATCCGCTGTCCCCGCGGCCTCCCCGTCATCAGGCGCAGGTACAGCGGCGGCTGGCGCGGCGGCGGCGTCGGCGGCCGCAGCAGCTCTGGCGGCGACGTCACGCGGCGTCATACAGCGGTGACGTCACACAGCGTCACCGCGCGGCCCGAGTGTCGCCCGCGGTGGCGTCGGTAGGGGGGGGGGGGGGGGCGGGGGAGGCGATTCAGGATGAGTAGCGACGTAATGGGAATTCCTGACAGTTTACTAACTAGACCAATACACTGAGTCGCCGCAGGTAATACGTCATAGTGAACGTGTTGACAAACTTGGCTTGGAGGCCTTGGCACATTAATCAAACGCTGGAAGCGGCTCGGGTTGCAAACTGCTTGTACATTTTGGAGCTGGGCTAAGCTAACTAAGCTTGAGTAGAAGACAAAACGCTGAACTCACCATCGACGGACAGGAAGAGCTCGGGCCTCTCGTAAACAGACACAGCGCTGAACTCACCATCAACGGACAGGAAGAGCTCGGACCTTTAGTCAGCGGACACAGCGCTGAACTCACCATCGACAGACAGGAAGAGTTCGGGCCTCTCGTCAACGGACACGGCGCTCGTGAGACGACGTCGCCTCTGGCTGCTTACGTCGCTGCCCCGACTGGAAGGGGTCCTGGAACAGGGAGTCACCCTGAACGAAAATAAAACACGAATGAAGCGGTGACAGGTGATGAGCCGGCGTCGTCGACACGCTCGGTCACGTGTCGTGCTTAATGGCTGGCGGTGTGTAGGTGGATGGAGCAGGGCGTTATTGAGATTTTAGAGCAGGTCAAAAGGGCTGAAGACGCAGGAAGCCTAGCTGGCCAAAAGCGCTGAGACTGAACAGGGCATCCATTTCACGCGTGTGAAAATGACGGGTGAAGCCCTGATACCAGGAACCTTGGAAAACCGCAGACGGTACGTTCACATACTATATGCCACTGACCGTAACTCAATGCCATCCACTGAATCCACACTGGCGATCTAGTTAATCACTTGGTGGTGACGTCATATTAGGTACTGCCGACTGGGGCAGAACCGATGATATGTTTTGCTGTTGTGCTATATTCGCTAATGTTTGTTTTGCTGATAAGATAGTATGCTCATGATAATGCTTTGCTCTGTTGCTTTTTGTTTGTCTCAAAATTATATCCAGCTTTTACGAACGTCGTTCGTTACGGGATTACCAGAGCATCAAAGACACTCCGCCAAGGTCTCGTGGGTGTTCCTGTCATTGCAAAGCCTCTCAACGATTGTTGCATCCAGCCAAAGTGAGTTTTAAAAAAATCAGGGAAGCCAATTTATCCTGTCTTAATCAATTATGTTGAAAGCCATGGCGAAGCCCTGTCTCTCACCGTACCCATACAGCACAACACCTCGTGTTCACGGATTTAATTTCCCATCCGCAGCTTTCTGTTGCTTCATGGGACGCACCTCCTCCCCGGACTGTTTTCCACGTCAGTGGAGGCCTCGCTGGAACCGGCGGCGGCAGGAGCGGGAGAGCTGCCACTCGGTGAGGACGAAGTGTCACCCTGTGCAGAGGTAGAGGAGGTGGCCGGCTCACAGCTGGAGGACTGTGAGCCGGGATTGTCCTCGCTCATTGTGCTTGCGGGCCGCCGGGGTGAGCTGCAAAGCAGCAGCGCGACACGGTTACACACAGGCATCGCGAATGTTACCGTCGTATCAGCACCGCTGCCAGTTAGGGCAAAAATAACGCGTACGATTCGTTTCAACCCTGCTCCACCTGGGTTTGTTGTTCAACAAAACGGTGTGGATCGATGAAAAATCGATCGCAGTTGTTCGACGCCAGACGCCACCGATCAACGGGCTCACCCGCCAGACGAGTTCTCCAAACAATACTAGTAATGTAGTTCTCCACAACACGTAGTGCTGGGCACACGCGTACAGCAACGCCGTGTGGAGATGCCAAACACCAGCACATGACCTTAAGAGCCGCTGACGGGGCCCCCGCCCGCCCCTTCAGCTGACGACACCCCTCACCTGTCCGGCGCGCCGCTGGACACGAGCGGGATCTCGCTGGAGAGCGCCACACCGTACGCGTCCGGGTCCACCGACGGCGGGGCCGAGAAGCAGACCGCGGTCTTGCGAACCCGCGCCCGCCGCTTGGCGCCGCTGGCCGACGGCGGCTCGGACTGCGAACGGCGCGCCGGCGCCGCCTGGCGGCCGGCGCCGGCGTCCGGTCCGGCCGCCGGGATGGTCATCGGCGACGACAGCTGCCGGCCGGACGCGCCGTCCTCCCCAAACGCCGCCGGGACGTCTGGTCCCGACGTCTCGCCGGTGCTCGGCGAGCTCGGGCGCTTTTCCGAGGCGATGGGTGCGCCCGACGCGGCGCCGGCAGCGTCGGCGACAGCAGCGCCATCTTCGGCGGCGTGGGGTGCGCCGTCGTCTGCACCGACCGCGCCGGCGGCGCTTGCGTCAGCACCGGGCTGGTTGACGACCGTCCGATCTCGACCAGTGCCGCCGCTGCCGCTGTCTTCATCGTCAGCGGTAGGAGAAGTTTCGTCTTCTGATTGGTCGCTTAATGCAGCCCCGTCAGCTGGCTCAGCAGCCACTGACGGCCTACGGGCAAGCAGAAATACACGCATTCCACACACTGCCCGGCACGTGCGGGGTTGCCGTGGCAGTTACTACGCTGCTCTTTTAAAACAAATAACAAACAAAACAAGCGGCAGGCCGGGCTTCCGTCACAGTACTTATAACCGCCCCAAAGCCGCATGACGAAACGGGTGGAAGGTCCATCTACTAAACAAACAATTCCCTCGTCCCCAAACAAATATATCTTGGGAACGGTGCGCACTGTCCCCGCCGCCACTCACCGCGTCCTCCGGCTGGCGCGGCCGTGGTGCGCGAGATCCTTGAAGTAGGCGGCGGACACCAGCAGGGCCACGGGCACCTCCACCGTGTACGCCTCCATGCCCATCTCCACAACCAGCGGGTGGGACACGTGTGGATCGAACTTGACGCGGTTCGGCGTGAAGAACAGCGTGCCCGTCACCACTCCCTGGCGGCATGAGGGCGGACGGGGTGAGGACTGAGGATTCCGGACGGAACACACAGGGCGATTCAAGAACTAACTATGTGACTTAGCTGGTGTGTTGATTGGTAGCCTGTGACACTGACCAGCGGAACTACGGATAGCTTTCTTCACTCATCACTGATGCGTTGCTTGGCTGGAATGATAGAAGATCCGAAGGAGCAAGTAAAATACAAAAAAACATATCGTTATCCATGACCCTAACTATTGCAAGTTTTACCAAAACCGCTAGAACAATGTACAAATGCAGTGAGCACTGTTCGGGCTGAGCAGCCGTAAGGAGCTCTCACGACACCGTTAAGGAGCACAGTAGCCCACCGTAGTGCCTGTGATGAGTTTCGCCTCGACATGAATGTATCCGTCACGTAGTTTATGCGGCAGCGCCCCAAGGAAAGCGCTGCGGTTGCCGGGGGTGGAGTAGGAACGGAAGCGCAGCCTTGGTCTTGCTCCTCCTGTTGCATGCTCCTCTTCATTAGCAGCAGCACTTCTCTCTGAAACAGAGGGCCGATTTGTGCGGGCGGAGGGGGGGGGGGGCGGTGGAGGGAGTGGGGGTTGGGGATGGGGTAAGGTGGGGGATAGCTTCACCTACGCTGAATTCCATACACTTGCCAATTCGGGAAGCTGTAACGTCAGAGTAGAGAAATACATGTCCGTTTTCCGGGACTGAATTAGATCTCCATAGATACTGGGGTTCTTTTCATAACCCGGCATCACCTGGCTTAGTCTGTATCAGATAAGTGCACCTGTTGTTATGGTCAGAGATCTGGTAATTTCTGCATTTCGGGGCACCCAAGCTTTCACAAGAGAGTATTCAAACCAGCAAGATATGCCTGCAAGCAGGACTTCCGGCACCGTAAAGGATTGCTGCTGAAGGAAAAGCGCCGTTAAGTCGGATGAGAAGACCTTCAGCACAACTTCCCGGTAGAATCTCGTAAAATCTCATGAATACAATCCGCAAGCCCACTGCATAGCGCACAGGCGGCACGTTTCAGAGGTAGGCATCGCTGAGCAGTTTTCCGAATTCGTGACGTCCGTTCATGGTCCAAAGAGGTTTTACATGTTTCACGTCTCACGTTTCCGTCACGGAATAAATCCATCACATCTGGGAAGACGATGTTAGTGAACATCCCGCTCCGGGAGCGTTTCGGTGTGTGCCGTGAGTAAGACCCCATCTCGATCGAGTGCATCAGTCCTTTGTGTACGAGACACTTGTGCGCAGCAGTTGTACACCTGCGTTTGATTGCGAAACACACTAGGCATCGGGGTTACGCCAACAGTTTTGGTGGCGCCTTGCCGCGATGTTAGGCCCTCGTGCAGGCTCAGGCTCAAGCCGGCGAAGTCCGCAGTCAGTGCCCAAAACCGGTACTCCTGCGGTGAACAGCTGATATTTTGACGAAGACTAGTTATGGTTACTATTTGATCACAGTTGTACCACTATTTTCCGTACTTTCCTGTAGCTGAGCCACAGGTTTCAGCAAGGGTGCAATTTTTTACTCTTCGCCTTTAAGCAAGATACACAGATTTTCACCCATAGCCTGACAGTCGCTGATGAGAACTGCATGATTGAGCTGTTGTTCAGGGTCGACGCCCTCGCAGGGTCACTTCCGCTCCAATAATTTTGCAATTTAGCATTGCTCTTCCTAGGCGTTGCAGGAAAAAGCAGAGCGAAAAAGCTCTCCGTGTCTTCACTAGTCACCAGCCGGTAACGGCGCTGTTTTTGTTACGAAGCGCCGACTGATGGTGCCCCCCACCCCCACCCCCCTACCCACCCGGGGTCACTGACCTTCGGCCTGCCGCAGCTGGTCCTCGGGCAAGTGACAGGGCACCACCAGCACCTGGCCGGGGAAGATGAGGCGCGAGCCCAGCCGGTTCACTTCCACAATCTCGCCCGGGTGGCAGTCGAACCTCGCCGCGATGCTCGGCACCGTCTCCCGCAGCTGCACCTGTTGGCGCCACACGCGTGCGTGTACTTAGTCATGGTGAATTGGGCCCGGGCTAAATGCGAGGATTCTGGTAATGTACATATTGTCGTTGTGCTGTGTGAAAGTGAACACAGGTTGTTGAGTGCATCATGCGAGCGCATACTTGCGTCGTCTCTACCACGTTCGCTAGTGACACTCATTAACGCTGTGTATTCGTAATGTTATCAACGTCGACGGATGGGGCACATTATTGCTGAGAAACATATCGAACAGCACAAATACATTTTTGGATCACAAGTAGATAGCAGCAGCAAACTAGCAGCAAGAGGACCGTTCCCCTTCGTTTGTTGGGTCCGTTGGTCCAAACCGTTGTTTGGGTCCGAGTCTCCATTCACCGAATGGCCCTCTAAAGACCAATCGCTTCAGGTGTCTGGGTGAAATGTCACCACTCAACACATGTTCCGGTCAATGCACAGACACCGATCACCACTGCCGGAGCAGTATTGACGAGCTAGCTAAGCACCACTCATAAGCAGCGGTGCGAAGCGCTGTCACTGACAGGGCCGTGCCGTACGGCGGCTGACGGGCACGTGCCTCCCGAGCATGGCGGCGGGCGGCGGCCTTCGATGAGCATGGGGTGACGCAACCAGATGGCAGTTGCGCATGGAAGGGAAGCAGTTGACCGCATTCTGAGATAGCCAGCGGTCGGATAGGGTGATGTGGTGTCATATGCTGCCGTTATCGTAGTGCAATAAGTGGTAAATTGGCTTATGACAAACCGTCACACTTCTTCAAAATATTTGCGCTACATGCCCGATACTACCCGCGTTACCCCTATTACATCCACTTCGTCGCCACAAGCACCGTGTAGAATTTGCCACCCGCACGGCTCACGAGCTCGAAAGTGTCAAACCCTCTCCGCCACCTTCGAACTCTTCACGACGCACTCAGCTGTCGAGGCTATGTGGCATCGCCGGCAGAAAGGGCGGCACCGCGGGGAATCGATCCACGGATCTCTGGCCCCTCTGGCGCGTAGAGTAAACACTACGATAGCGGTAACCAACTCACACATCTAGTTCAGCTATCAACACCTACATTCCAACCCGTTCCTCGTTCTAAAAACAAAAGCCTACAACTACGCTCTTCGTAAACATCGACTCCCAATTGTGCTCGGCCGTTAACACCGGAGTTAAAAAAACTTGTGCTGGGTGGAGAAGTGCAGATACGTGCCATACAACGCTACCACAGATTTGCATCGACATACTGTGTATGTGCGCATATTTAAAACTAGCTTAGCGTTACCTTGTGTCTGATCATTCGTGGCAGTTGTGCAGGGTTCCTTCTTCGTTCATCCCTGGTAGTTCGTTCATCTGAAGAAAAGTACACAAGTATTGTCAACATTATCAATATGCAGTTGAAACGGATATATAATACGCGTAAACCAAAGCAAGGTTTTAGAAATGCAACATATGTGTTGAGGAAAGCGGCATTCAAGTGGCATTGAAACCAGCTATTCGCAAAGCATCTTGTTGCATAAAAAACCATATTATTTGAGTGATATCATACCTGCTCAAGCAAAATGATCTGGACATTGGCACGCCTTTAAACACCAAGACATACATGCTTTATGCGGCTATATTGCACAGGTCATTGTTATCTCGACGATGCATGTTTTTTCCACGCACTCCATAATGCGGCCGGTCATCGTACACGGTCTCCCATTTCGCAGAGATACACCTTTGGTACTACGGTGGAAAATGTGGAAAAATCACCCAGATCGGCGAAGCTTGCCATTCGTATGTCATTCATTCATTTCCAGCCATATCATCATCCTTAGCGGCAGCCCACTTCAGGCAAACTCGTCAAGCCTTTGGGATCTCATTGATACATGTTGTTCAGAGTGCGTCGTATGGCGAGGTCACAAAAAGTAGGCGTAATTTACCCTGTGAATGAGATAACGGCTATGATGCCAACCGTGCAGCAGCCGGGTGGAAATAGCTTCGACGACAGGCGTTCGGTACGATAGCCATGTTCGACACAATGCATTCATGCACGGTTTCGGATAAAGCATTTAACAAAAACGGAACCAGCCTAAGCTTCATGTACATTACACTCCTGACCGGTTGTAGGCTTAACGCAGCACGCAACGTACTCATATCAGCTAC